AGAGAACTCAGCTGATCATCAGGGAAAGGAGTGAACAACTCATCAAGGAAATGTTGCATAAATACCAGGTCTTTTCTGTTCTTTTTTCTGTTCTTTTAGGATGGCTCAGTCACGTATCTGAGCATGAGCTGATTTAGATTGGAGGAATATTTCCTGCCTTAAGGACAAAAAAAAAAACAATCAAGCTCAGTTCTTGCTTGAATGACAAATTTTTAATTATCTCAGCAATTATCCAACAACAGCATTCCAATCAATTCCCGATTGACAAAATCAAGTCCTGCTCTGCACTTTTTCTCATTTGAGAAGCCGTTGTGCTTGGATGTCAGTATAGGGTAAAAAAAGACAATTGCAACTTAGGTTTTGTGGTGATTTAAAAAAAAAACAAAAAAAACAATAGCATCTCTTTGACAGTAATGGTTTTATTTTTGTGATTTCACTTGTTCAATGTAAAGTTCCATGTTGGCTGTCCACATACAAGGCATTTTTATGCATACTTTATTCAATGCCTAATTAGAAATCATAGAAAATTGTTTTATTTTGTATTTCTTTAATTATGAAAATGTTAATGTCTTTTAAATTACATGTCATGTTGTATTACAGCAAAAACAGAAGTGTCAAATTAAACAGTTTGAAACAAATGAAACCTTGTCGAAAAATAAAAAAATGTAGGGTGTAGACTTGGTTTAGTCAATCAGTTGTTGATTGGATGCAGACAGATATGTTTACAATAAGATCAATAACATGCATTTAGGTGAATTTTAAGGTGAACCATCCCGACTTTAATCTGTCTTTGTTTAGGCCCTGAAGTTTCTCACATGGGAGTCTTGGTTCCATCAAAGAGTTACAGAGTCACGGGCCAGGGAGCTGGAGATGCTCAGAATTCTGGGATATCTGACAGCATTCTCTATGCTCAACTCTATCTGTATGCCTTTCCTGGTGAGTGCTTGATATTCAGGACAAATACCTTCATGAAAAAACTGACACAGCTTCACCAGGTTCATCAGCAAGATGGGCTGACCATCAGGGTTTTTTCTAGTGCTACTAGTTATCTTACTATATAATCTAGTCAAGAAATCTTGTTGGTTAGTGTTTAGATATTCCATATCCTTACTAAAATTCTGTTTTTTACTTATTACTGCTAAACTACCCTCTGTGACTTTGACTTCAAATTACCTTGCCTCTCTTCTCCAGATGCACAGGGGCTTACTAACTAAACAAATCCACAGAGCTCTGAGATTAAAACCCAAATCAAAGTCTATCATAGATTACAACCTGAGATCAGAACATTTTGGTCCCCATCATTCCAAGCTTTCATCAGAATGGACATGGCCTGTCACTAGACAGATGAACTTAATATCTTCTTTGACCCATATTTCCCATACTCTTTATCTTTCTGTGCAGGTTGGTTTCTCTAGTATCGGTGTGTTTGTGCTGGTGGATGATGGGAATGTTCTCACACCGTCTCAGATCTTTACATCCCTCTGTTTCTTCAGATTGCTCCGCCCACCTCTGCTGGAGCTCCTTGGGCTCTTCTGTGTTCTCAAGCAGGTAGCACGCATGTGACAACATCAAAACAAACTTTATTGAAGATCTTAAATCTAAAGTTTCTTAGTATTTTATTAATATTTTTGTTCAAATGAATTAATCTCAGCATATTTTATGCAGGCACAGCAGTCTCTTTGCCATCTGGAGAAGAGCTTTCTTGGAAAGGATTTGGGCACCACTCAGTTAGTTACTACAAAAGGTAACGTCACCATATATGACAACTCACTGATGCATGGAGAAACAAGTTTTTTTTTGTTTTTTTTTGGCTGTAAAGCTGTAAAGTGTTTCCCGGTCATGTGTTACAGAAGAGCTTCCATCTGATGGCTTCCAACAGCGATGTGACGGGTAAGTTTGTATTTGTTTATTTGTATTTTATAACATATATATTTATTGTTTTATAATGTATTGTAATTAATCTATTGAACACCCTCATGTAAACACTTAGTCTGCTAAAACATTTTCATGAAGAAGTCTCATATGCTCAAAACAGTAAACCAATCATATTATGAAGTATTACAATTTAAAATAACTGTTTTTAATTTCAATATATTTTAAAAATATAATTTATTTATTTGATCAAATCTGAAATTTCAGCCAGCATAATAGAAATACAAATGTTTGTGTGCATGTTATGTTATGTTATCCTCTGACATTTGATTAGGCAGAGTCCAGAACATTGGGTAAAACGCAGTGCGTGACCTGAACCGTCGGTCTTGGTTGTCCAGTACAGATCCAGCATTAATATATTACAATTGCTTTAATCCAAGACGAACATCAGTGCATTTAAGAGCATTAGCAGTGCTTCTGATTTTAATATCTTTCTGATCCCCTTGAGAGAATGTATCATGCTTTTCTTACACTGTGTTCTATTTTATGTACTAGATGTACTGGCCTTTGTAGTTTAGTCATGAAGGTTAGTGCAGGTTAATAAAGGAAGATATGCACAGAATCACAGGGATTGCTGGTCACAGGATGATGGGGACCTGTAAAATCTCATGGGAAAGACTGAACAGGGCTGCCGACGTTTTCTTTTTATCCCACATTAATGAGCTGTTGTTTCTCCAACCTGCTTGTTCTTCTGATGCTTGCACTGCACTTTTACCTCAAGTACACTGTATCTTTATAGTCTAAATATTTTTGATGTATTGATTTTTACAGGTGTAAAGATAAGCACAGTCATTCTGATGAGAAAAGTGATCACTATCTATCCCAAAAAGTATGTACCAAAAATTATTTTAACTGATTTTAAATTATTATTACTTAAAAAATTTTTTAAATAATTTATTTATCTTTTTAAGTATTATGTCTTTCAAAATCTTTAAGAATAATACAAAATGTATTTATAGAAGAATGTCTGAGCTACTGTTTCCACAAAATAAAACTAAGATTTTTAGTGAAAATCAAATTAAAATTATGAAACTGTGAATTTTGTGTAATGATGTGGTTTTGTAATTTTAGGGCAGTGGAAAGGCCCGCATGCTGTATTTGAGGGCTTTTGGCTGGCACTGGCTGTCAGTTTCCTCGCTTGTCTACCTGTCTGTGTGTGCTGTTAGTTTAGCACAAGATGGCATCCTGAGTGTGTGGACGGGTGAAGCCAAAGAAGTTCAAGGCCTGGAAGGGTGGAGAGAGCTCCGAAACTCACGACTGTCTGCGTACGCACTGCTCGGACTCCTACAAGGTTATTGTCAACCTGTGACTTCTTATTTGAGAATGTATATTTGTTAACTTATATGCTCTTGTATTGCAGCCTTCCTCGTGTGCTGTGCCGCCTACTGTCTGACCTGTGCCTCTCTCAGGGCTTCTCATACACTGCACTCAAAGCTTCTGTCAGATGTTCTTCACATGCCTATGCATTCCCAGAAGACTGACATGAGACGGCTACTGCAAGTATTCACTCAGGTGAGTGTTGTCCTCCAGGAGGCGGTGTGGAGCATAGTTCAAAACAAGTGAACTGAAAAAAGGCCTGTTTGATTCCAACATGTAGCAGGTCATCACTGTTGCGCCCTTGAGGAAGTATATATTATATAACAGATGTAAGCAAATATGATGAAAAACCAAGATAGATCTTCCTTAATCCCGTTTTAACAAAACCAAACATTGTGATCTCATGTTGGATTAGGATATGCAGGTCATTGATGAAGAGCTGCCCAAACATTTGCACAGCTGGTTGAAGAGTCTTTTGGACATATTGAGCACCATCACTCTGATCAGCTTCATCATGCCGGTTTTCAGCCTAGCTGTCTGCCCGCTGATAATCCTCTTCCTCCGTATTCAGGTTCGTCAGTTTTCCCAGAATATATTGACCTGAAGGTTTATACATAAGCAAATCACCATTTAACATCAAGAAGTATTTACAAATGGTTATTATACAGGTATTAACATTTCTTTTTCTTCTTTCAGTCACGCTTTTCTTCAGCCCACAGTCATATCAGACACATGGAGGCAAACCCAGTTGCTTCTCTGGAGTGTGTGACACAGTGTGTTGAAGATCCACTTTCTGGGCCAAAACATAGAGAGGTGTGTCTGACACACTGCCTCCAAGCCTTAAATCAAAACCTGCTGGTCAAGTACAACAAAATCAACACAGAAAGGTTAAAAAAGGTTTTTATATACATTTTGTTTATGCTCGGATATGCTCGTTATGTGAAGGATTCTGAGAGGTCCACTTGTTGTGAACTGATTAAAAAAATTATAAATGAAATTTTTTTTTACAAAAAGTACCAACATTGAAATAAATCACCTAGTAAATCATCAGTGAATTCAATGATTAACCTTCTATTGTCTCACTTCAATAACGTAACTCCCAAAGTGTGTATGTGTGTGTGTATATTTCTGCCAGCTTCTTATAGTTAATAAATTAGATGATTTTTTTTTAAAGCAAAATTATTGGCACTGATGTTTGTGCACAAATTGAAGCAAAAAAGGTTGGTTGCTGAAAACAGGATAAGACATTTGGCCTTGCTCTGCAAGTTTTGTTTTGACCTGCCTCCTGAACTACAGTACACTAGGGGGCGCCATTCAAGTGTAATACACATCTGTGATTGATTATATTATAGCTTTTGCAAGAGTTGTCTTGTATTTTCAAGCCAATAAAATATTGTACATATTTTTATATTTAAAAATATGTTATTAATATACACTGTAAAGATCTACTAAACATATCAAATAAACATGTCACATTTATTGCAACATATACAGCAGCTTTGATTAGTGTTATTTATTACCTGTGTGCAGTCGGGCTGCGTTGCGGTTAGATGGCATTGCTGGGATTGTGCTGTTCCTGGTCAGTCTGATTCTGCTGGAGACTGAACTGGATGCAGGGCTTGTGGTTCTGGCATTGATCTGTGCCTTCAATGTAAGTTCATCTGTTCTGATACCTAACCTAAGTTTTGTTGGATTAATTCATAATGATTATGAAAACATTTTGTTACAGATCAAAAAAGCTGTTCACCGATACCCTCAGGCTGCCTCTGATATCAGCATGGACATGCTGAGCATGCAAAACCTTTGTGAATTTGCCAAAGTGGAGAAGGAGGTACAGGGTAACATAATACTTACTTAACAAGTAAATACTTCTCTTTGTGCTTGCCAGCTCACACCGCTCCACACCTAACCCTACATGGTCAGATTCATTGTGTACTAAATTCCAAAGAGGATGCCTTGTCACCTTTAAGTGTCACTGGATGTCATTTCCTCTCCATGGAAATGGACTGAGCCAACTGCCCCATTTTACCTTAGGCAGCATGGGAAAAATCCTACAGACCACCCAATGACTGGCCCCAGCATGGAGAGGTGAAGTTCAGGAACTATGAGTCTGAAGCCTCCTCTAATGGCACACCAGCTCTTAGAGGAATTAATCTCACCATTCTAAAAGAGGAAAAGGTACTTTGAATATTTGTTTGTTTGTTTTCTTGCCAACGATTTACATACTGAAAATAATTAATTAGTCATTTTATTTATGTATTTATTTATAAGCCTAAGACTTCCATACTGATAATAAATAAATTAATGAATCTATTTATATTCATATTAAATTTATTTATTTATTTATAAGCCTAATAAGTAAATTAATTACTAATTAATATCAATATTTAATTAATTTTATTTATAAGCCTACGATTTTTATACTGATAATAATCAATATCAATATGTATTTTATTTATTTTTAATTATTATTTATTAATGTTAATCTCAAATGTAAAAATAAATAAATATTAATCATTAATTTATATTTGTTGTTAATTTATTATTATTATTATTATTATTAATAATAATAATTTTACTAATATTTTACTTTCATTGTTATTAGGGTTACATTTCTATGAGATAATATATTCATTTTAAATAATTTATTTAAAATTCACTGATTATACTTAAGTATTTATTTTATTTTCCGGCTGAATATATCCGTATTTAAACCTTAGGGTGGTTTTTGTTTGTTTGCATGTGTATAGATTGGGCTCGTAAGCAGGGGGAAGACCGACACCGATGGTTTGGTTAGCAGTCTGTTCCGGTCAGTGGAGGCCAGGAGCGGCGCTGTGCTGATTGACGATATAAACATCGCCCGCATGGGTCTACGTGACCTTCGTAGCCGTCTGCAAATCATTTCTCAGGTTAGTCAAACAATTTTATATTTGCATACAAGAGAATGATGTCGATCTAGCTCAATCCAGCCACAGCAAAACCGATCAAAGACTGGAGGCAAAGGAGTGTTGACAGGTAACAGAACTATTTCACTGGGTGTGGTAGAAGGAATGCTCTCCAATATTGTGTGTAATGCAAAACTAGCTTTACCCAGGCTCCGCCAGTAACAAGCATTATCCAGTTATTGAAGTCACTGATGAGTTATGGTGTCCCGTGTGTTACAGGTTCCCGTACTGTTCTCTGGTCCCCTGAGGGCTAACCTGGACCCATTCGCTCAGCATACTGACGCACAGGTGTGGTTGGCTCTGGAGCTCTGCCATCTGAAGGAGCGTGTTCGACTATTGCCTGCTCAGCTGCTGCACCCTGTACAGAGGACCTCCCTCGCTTTCAGGTGTGTGGGAATCCAATCTTTGGATGCCTCGGGCCAATTTTACATGTTTATATACCAGAATATAGTTGATCTTTGTACAGTTATATAAATGGCTGATGTAGAAAATATAGTAGCCTATTGCAGAGATATTCAACTCGGTCAATTTTTTTTTTCTTTTTTCAAATTTACTTAATCATAACATTAATTTTTATATAAAATTTCAAAAATATGCATTATAAATCATCAAGCTGGGTACCATAATATTTTGTAAAAGTAAGAAATAATAAAGCCCCAATAGCCAAACAAATTATACAAAACAGGAGCTTTGTCAAATATAAAGTCGATATAATATAATACACAATATAAAATATAAAGTCGGGTCCGGCCTGGGTCATGCCCTGGTCGATTAGTATATAAAATACATAAAGTTTTAAAAATAAAATAAAAAAAATATATATATTGCATATTTCTTTTTATATATAAATATAAATAAAACATTTAATTAATACATTAAAAATACAGGATCACAAATAATTTTCTTATTTGATTATAAAATAAATCAAGTTCAATTAAGGGTGTATTCACACCTGTCTTGTTTGGTTCGATTGAATCGAACTCAAGTTCGTTTCCCCTCTTGGTGCGAAAATAGTAAGGAGATATTTGAATTATTTATTAATAAACTAGTGTTTTATGAGTCAGTGTCGCAAAGATGAAGTTGATGATCCTGACTCGCCATCTCATCATTGGACGTGCCTTTAGAAAGAAATGCATCTTTACACATTACATAATAATGAGAGTTTTTGTTTTGGATTTGAATTATTTCGTTTTGTAGTCATTTAAAGCTTTTTATAGATATATTCATAATGTCCGTAAGGAAAATATTCGCTGAGTTTTGGTTCATTTTTGTTCAAGACCCGAGACGGCCTATTTGTTTTTTTATTTTTTATTTTACAAAAGCACAAAGTTTTCTTGATATTGTGAGTGCACACAAATATCCGGACCAAAGCAAGTGAACAAGCGGACTTTCCTGGTGTGAATACACCCTAAGTGAAATTTGCAATATATAAAAATTTAATAATCTGTTAAATATAAAATATTTTATTTATCATTTTCATACAAATAAAAATCAGTAAAACATTTAATAAATTCAAAAAACAGAATCACACAGATTACAAGTTTCTCATTTGATTATTAAAAATTGTATTAAAAAGTTCTATGAAGTAAATTTTGCAGATTGGACAAACATAAATAATTGAGCCGATTCGTTGTTTCCCATAATTGGTTATAAAGGCTGCTTATTTTGCATGTAGAACGAACTGCAGCATGAAATGATTCACGTTCCGGCTGGAATCAATCATGAGTCCAGATCTGGACCGTGGCTCTGTTTTATTACCTCATGAAACAATATAGTTTTCTCTATGGCAACCTTTATGTACTGGCACAACAAACAAGTGGTTGTTATGGGTTAAATATTTCTGTTTTTGTGTTGTGAAAGCTTTGGCCAGAGGAGGCTGCTCTGTTTGGCCAGAGCCCTGCTTGCAAGGGTCAGAATCCTGCTTGTGGAAGAGGCCCTTCCTCGTGTGGACCTAGAAACAGAGGAGCTGGTCCGACAGTTGATCCACACAGAGTTTAAACACTGCACTGTACTGTGGCTCACTCAGAACCCGCTCACTGTCATGCACACTGACAGGTCAGGAGCAACAATCCTTTATATAACAAGTGATTCATCCTGTCATTAAATGTCAAGTATTCCAGTAAGGTATTTATGACCTTTTGTTACTCCTTCAGGGTGCTGGTTTTGAATAAGGGACAAGCTGTGAACTTTGACTCCCCTTCCACTCTCCTCCAGCAGGGGCCGCTGTTCAGTCAATGAGACGGGACCTGCTCTTACATCCAATTATTATTCTATCATTTACTCATTTCTTGTTGACCAAATATTTAAGATATTCATTTTACATCATACATTAGGTTATCTAAAGCACAGTTTATTCACACATGAATTAATTAAGGTTTTGGACCGATTATACTGAATAAATTATTAAATAAAAAAAGTGATAAGTGGAACACAAACAGATTTTGAAATATTCTAGCAAATTGTGGGGGTTATTTTAAATGTATTTTCCATTTTATAATTGATTAATCATTTCTTTAATTTGATAATGTAATTATAATATAGTACAAAAAATAATTAATTTATTACAATAATATGTTTGCCACTTGGTTATAATAAGTAATAATAAAAAATTGTTTAATGTCATGCATAAGCACACAAACATGCCAGTTTACAATGTTTACAAACTTGAGTTTCAAGATACCTTATATATCTGTGCTGTTTAAACAGGGCTGTCTGTTTTGACTGAATCACTTTTCTTTCAGCTGATGTCAGGTCAGAGTTTGATATTTTTTACACTTTTGATACTCTTTTGCCAGAGTTTTACAAGAAGTAGAATATGCATATGGAAAGTACACCTGCAATATGATTAATTAATAAGAAGCAAGCAGCAGGTCTTCCTAAGGGCTGTTTGTGGTTATGCACAGCGGCCGTTTGAGCTGTTTGTTGACACATTCTCATCTTCTCCATTTCCTTTGCTGTTATTTTCAGTTAATTGCACATTAGGTTACATGAAGGAGCCGTTTTTTCACAACAGTTTTCCACATTGTAACTGTCTCCACATCTTTCCTCAAGTCATTTCAGGATGTTTGGATGACAGATAAAAACACTTAGTTTTCATTTTGTTGTTATATTTGTTTTTGAAGGCATATTACAACTTGTATGGAAATTTCTGAATAAAAAAATATATAAAAGCAAAATATATTTGATTTTTTTTAATATATATATATATATATATATATATATACATATATTATATATGTTGCTCTCATTATAGCTACATCAAGACTGAGTTTCCCCAGTATTGCATATTGTCTTATGTTCCATTTTGTTTGATCTAAGTCTTTTCCAGAGTTTCTCTGCACATAAAAAAATATGTTTTTGGTTCTAGAAGTAAAAATAGAACAGCCCAAAGTCAGTTATTGCCTCAGCAGCCATATCTGAAGCAACTGCAAACTACATGCACTTGTGAAAATTGGTTGCGACACAAACCTTTCATTTGACTTATAAATAATCCCACTCCACAGCTTCGCCCCTCCATCTGAACTCCTCTTCAGATAGCAGATATTGACTGATTTTCTGAGTAGCAGTGCAGATATGAGGGTGGCGATTGCGGTCTTGTGTCTGATGTGGCTGTGCTCGTGTGAGAGCCGCACGCTGGGTCGCTGTGATGTTGTCCGTATCTTCAAGCAAGAGGGACTTGATGGATTTGAGGGATTCTCGCTTGGCAACTGTGGGTACTTTGCTTTTTGGATTTTCAGTACTGACTTGCAGTGTTTGGCATATCTGATTGTATTAACTAAATCTTCAGAAAACATACAATGTATTATAAAACTGGACATAATATATTTGATTCCCATTGGTTTTGAACTTAATTTCAACAGATGTGTGCACGGCCTACTGGGAAAGCAGGTTTAAGACCGAAAGAGTGCGTTCAGCTGATACCGGGAAAGACTATGGTGTCTTCCAGATAAACAGTTTCAAATGGTGCGATGATGGCACTCCAGGAGGACAGAACAAGTGCAAAGTTCCCTGTTCAGGTACTTTATTACATTTAAATAGATTTCATGTGACCATATTGAACACTACTTGTATTAAAGTGGACTAGTAGTTAAAAATGGACAAAATTTATTTGGATGTTGCTGCCTGTAATTTTGTAAAACATACAGTGGGGGTCTGAAAAATCTAATTAAAAATTGTATTTATAAATGTACATTTAAGTTTTAGAATAAAAAAATTAAATAACAATAAATTGTATTGTATAAATATTTGTTTCAGATGTTATTCTCACAAAACAATTGGTGTAGAAACAGTTTTCACTCAGAAATTGCTAGCAAATTTCACTAATAATTAAAAGGAACATGAAATATTTAAGTAGAAAGACTGAAGTAGTTTTTTCTTGTAAAAAATGTGTTGGTAATCTTTGAAAAATATATATTTTTTTTTTACAGTATACTAAATATAATTTACATATTGTAACTGTCACAAGTGTTATGCTGAGAATATAGTTTATAATGAGAAAAATGTGTGTAAAAAAAATCAGGAAAAAAGTAAAATGGACTTTTTGACTCCACTGTATCTGTGCTTTTACACTTTGATATTACATTTTTGTTTATACATGTTTCCCATCTGATAGATTTGCTTCAGGATGACCTGAAAGCTTCAGTTGAATGTGCAAAGCTTATTGTGAAAACCGATGGACTCAAATCATGGCAAGTATTCATTGCATATATCCTTGGACACAACTGACAAAGCTTAGTTTTCATATTAACAAAGGTTGCTTGTCCCTTTAGAAATTTGGCCTCAAGCTGTGTCTATCACTGCATTATATCTAGTGTATTGATCTGTTGTGCATGTGTGTTTTTGACATAATGTAATGCTGATCTTTGTGTCTGCAGGGACACCTGGGATAGTTACTGTAATGGGCGTAAGATGACACGCTGGGTGAAAGGTTGTGAGGAGCGCTAATAAGACCTTGATTGCCTGCAGGAGATTTAATTATCTATAATGCCCTCAGATTATGTGCTAATGCATTTAAACTCTTGGTTGATGTGACTTTTAAAACTAAAAGACATTGTCATTATTAACATTTGTAACCTTGATCTTGAGATGTGTATTAAAATATCTTCACAAATTGTTAATCATTTGTGCTTTGCAGTGCTTTTCAATCTCACATTTGGCTAAAGCTTACACGGCAGCAAATTGTGACGGATAGTTTGTTTGATACTACTAGATAGTAGCGGTGGGCTTTGATTTAAATTGCTTTTAATAAAAATTGAATAATCTGTCAATTTGAAAACCCAAATTGATTGAACAGTACTCTGAATACTGGACGCATCTCCCTCAACGTCTATGCTCATTATGTGTCTTATATACAATTTCAGGTGAATTAATTCAAACTATATGAACTGCGGACACATCCATATCACTGTAAAAATAAATAAATACATCTGTGAAATTCATTATCAAAAAAATAGCAGCTGTATTTTCCAGAACATTACCATAAAAATTCGGTAGAATTTTGAGTTTTACAGATTGAACTGAGGCTAAATTTACGGTTAAAAAAACATATAGCTCATTTCATTAACTGATATAATATTTATATACCTTACAAATTTTGTACCTTTATAAAACTCCTAAAAGAAAAACAGGTGGTAATTGAGAAAGACTTGTAGAAACGCTAAGGAATTATAAAAAATCTTACGGTTTTTCACTGTAAACTAAGGTGATGTGTTGTTTTTCACTTCCAAAAACTGTAAATTTGTGTTGAAACAATTTTCTCTCAGAAATTGCTAGTAAGTTGCACAATTAATTACAACAAAACAAAATAACACATTGAGTTAAATGTGAAATTTTGAAGTAAAAAGACTAAAATAGTAGGCTGTTTTCTTGTAAAAGGTACTCCAACAATCTGTTTTATTTACAATGAAAAATCATTTTTACAGTGTACTAAATATTGTTCATGTATTATTCACTTTTCACTCAAAGTATTATGCTGAGAATATAATTAGCAATGCAAGTGACATGCACACAAATACATAACACCGTTATGGTAACACAACACCAAAATTTAATATTAATTTAGCAACGTAAGATGTAACATAAACCCATAATGTACATAACTAAACTGAAAAATCTAAGAATGGTTTTTCACCAAGATGACTTGCTTTTCACATATTTTACTGTAAAATTAAGTATTTCCACAGTTTATTAAGCTGTTTTTGTTTGTTTTTTTACCATAGCATTTTTACACTCTTTAACATTAAATGAATTAATAAAGTCCATCCATCATCACAAAGATTTAAAACTCCACCTAAGTGCAGTTACAAACACTAATTATCATTGCCATAACCCAATTGATTAGTTTTTAATGTCTTTGACATTTAGAAGACAGCTGATTTCTAGCTTGCAGGACGAGATGAGGGTGAACCTCCCCATTTCCATCATAAACTAACCGTATTCCAGTTCTGATAAAGCCATGTGAAGATCTGTTTGGATCTTGTTCGGGTGGAGAATGAGATGCTTGTGTTGTAGCTCTAATAGGCTAAAATCACCCCCTCTCCAGATGGGAAAGGGTTTGTTTCTTTAATTCTACCCTGTGCCTCCAGAGTAGTGATTACAGTCATATCTATAATTACCAGATCCTGAGTGTGTGACGCGAGTTCTCCTGTCGAAGCAGAGGACTGATTAGTTTAATTGGCTCCGTAATTAGCAGTGTGCTTTAAAGTCTATGCTGTCACTAATTGCAGACCAGGGTAAATTTTGTAGAAAGTACCACATCTTTTTGGTGTTAATGCGGTCCAGTTCATTTGTCTTATGTCTGGCTCTAACTCTGCCTACCAACTGGACCCCCTGACAGCTTTCTGATCTCCGCGTCTATTTTAATTCATGGCCACTACCGTGTTTCTCATAAACAATTACAAATGGTGTAATTGCCAGGAGAAAATCTGTAGAAATGAGCTTTGATCTGTGTGTAAGGTATTTTTTCTTGTGAAAGAAACTTGCAAAAGTGTTTGAGGAGCAGAGATAAGGATGTGAATTCTTTGTATGTGAATACAAGATAACGCTATTAATATTCAATATCTGCTAATCACATTAAGAGTTGTTTATCGATAAGAACCTATATACAGATTTTTTGGTCCGTGATGAATCACAAAACAGATTTCAAAATAAATCCAGTAACTCAAAACACTTTGAGTTTTTGTTTGTGATTAAGCATTTATGTGGCATGATTTTAGAGCCATAAAAACATACTGAAGCAATTAAATATTTTTAATCCATTTGTACACGTCCAATTCCTGTCTCAAAAATATAAATCGCATTTATGTGGCATGATTTTAGAGCCATAAAAACATACTGAAGCAATTAAATATTTTTAATCCATTTGTACACGTCCAATTCCTGTCTCAAAAATATAAAAAACTATTAACAGCACATTTTAAATTCAAACACACAATATTACTCGCGCTCACAGAAACACATCTTCCTGTACAACCAGACGTCTAACTGACTAATTTCGGTATC